AAAATACGATTTCGAGGACAAAGGTTCATGCCTGTCACATTTATTGTAGATTTTCACACTATAATATCTTACCTGGCTCAATTAACTTTTTTAATTGATGATAAATAAACAAAAACGCGTCAAATGTGACACGGTCGTAGACTAGATAGTCCATTCATATATTGATTTTACTATCTAAATATCTAACTGGCGATTGTTGATAAGGTCTATATACTTTCTAAAATGATTTGTTACTTGCCAAATAAACTGTTAATTATTAATCCTATTTTGCACCCCGCAACAAGTTTTAATGTTGATTTACTATTGCTGAAATACGTTTGACCTATTATTCTTGTATGGATTCAAATAACAATTCTGATTAGTTTAAGATTTAAATTAATGAAAAATTACTACTTGAAGTGAAAAATGAATGTGTCTTTTCACGTGAAAGTCGTGTTTATGTAATTGCAGACCCAACAACATTTCTATGACTAATGAAATCCAACTGAAATGAACATTTTGTAATATTTGGCTAATGAGAGAAAAAAATTATTCATTTCTGACCTCACCACAACGAACCAAGGTTTACTAGTTTATTACATTGATTTAATGAATAATTTGAAAGGCTGACAAATGCTGAATGTTCAGTGATATATTTTATTGCCTTTTTTATCATCTATTCCGGATGCACATAATTATATCTCTAAATCCAACCTATTCAGTTTAAAATGAATTATTTCTTTGTCAATTTTATTGTTTTATTATTCTATTGTAGACAAACCTATACCCTTACATCTAATTTATTTACTTTTAAAAGCAAATTTCATATTAATGAATTATTTCTTTGACAAATGCCAAATTTAACAATTACTTCAATCAATGTTACGAATGATTTAAATCTTAAAGGTCACTCAACGAAGTAATAAAATAAATTGCTTCTGAGAAATGTCAAATTTACTCTAAATAAATAAATAACCGACTGTCGCGATTGTAAATTATATTCTTTTAATTACAGTCCGATTATTTTTTAATTACCTCTTTATTATCCACTTAAAGATATTTAAAAGATATAAATGAATTACTCTTGTCTATATTTTGACACAGCTGTGATAATCCCCCGAGATTATGTTGATTAAAATAAGGATTACGGCAATAAGATTAGCGGATTATCGTAATTCAGGTTTAAAATGGCAGATGTCGTGGTGGAAACAGAAGTTATGTTTATCTTTAGATTTTATCCTCCGATTTTATCGCATTAGGCCCACTTTCTGGCTCTACTCACTCGGAAGCTTTGTGTTGAGAACTAAGTAGACGATGTACGATTTATTTATCTCTCGATTTCTTAGAATGGACATAAAATTAAAAATCTCTAACCTGGTCAACAAGTGAAGATATTCATCAGTTAGATTTACCAGGTACCATGACTAAAGAATAGAATCTCTATATAAGACGATATTTCCATTAAACTAAATAATTATTAAAAAAAACTCTTCTAAGCGTGTTTCACACACAATTGATTAGTTTATAGATTTATTGCATTATAGGGAGCTTCTGTTATATCGTTATGACACCATGTTAGTCGAATCATGAACAAAATGAAATGAATGGAGCTTTACGTCCTACTTTTCTGCACCGTGTGATGAAAAAAAGACTCATTTAAACTACGTTTCATAATGCCAATTTTTTTGGTCATCCTCAGAGGCAACTACCTCTTATTCAGACCCCCCTCCCCTTCAATGCTTACAAATTTAAGTGAGTTGGTTTCAATGGAAATTAAACATGAATTACTTCCCTTTAGTCGTAAATAAAATTAGATACCGGAAATTTAGCTTGATAGACAAGTTATTTTAGTCTGTAGTATTATAACGTTAATAAATGGAGTTAAGTCCCTTTGGTCAAACTATAATCAGAGTAGTTCAAGTGAAAAAATTTTGAATGACGCAATTGAAAATCACGATTTGGGACCACACCTTGTGGCGATGAGTGCATTTATCCGAATAATTTGTATGTAATTAATTACTGAAATCTTAATTAAGATAGTCTTATTGAAGTCACCGCCTTTGAACCACCACCACACCTACCATTCTGTGTACTTTGGGTGTAGTCTGGGATATCTGTTGATCTTTTTCTCCAATGAGTTTTTGTAAAAGCACTAAGTCAAATATCGACAATAACATTTATAGTATGAGTATTGATCAGTTATTTGCAATTGCTTGTATGTTATAGTTCATTTATTTCTAATATGTATATGCAGATCTATAAAAACTGAAGAGTAATGACTCTTTAAGTTCCAATCCAAAAAACAAAACTTTCAGCCTAACTTGTACAATAACTTGCGGATATCGCTATCCAGACGAAGTGTATGCTCTTTTTCGAATACCCGAGAATAATTCTGTGATCCCTTTCGAAGATCCAAATATTATATAAACATGTCTAAGGTGATGTGAATTAACTAATTTATTATGTTTATGTTTGTTTGTTACTGCTCGTTTACTTTTACAATACAATACAACTTTAGCCTAAAAATTCAATTTGCGTTCCTTATGTTTCAGAATCATCTGGAAAAGTCAAAATAATCTAGAATATTTTGTCCATTCTCTTGGCATTATAGTCAATTATTGGTGATTATAGCTTAAGTCAAGAAATAAGATAGGAATTCGGATTAGCCTTGACTTAGCTATCATAAATCTAAAAGCTTATTCAAGAATCCGGTTTTAATCTCTAAATCCAATAACAAGAATTTATTCTTTAGAAATATGTTGGATTTGACCCCCATTAATCCCAGGGATAATCCGGCTAATTTCATTAATCTCATTCCAAGGGGAATTATTTTCATTCCATTGTTTATTCCATGTAAAAAAAAATATTGCAGTAAGTCGATAAAGCGAACTGGATATTGAGACCTTGGCCAGTGCTTCTATAGCATAGTTTCTCTAGCTTAATACTTGAGTCCTGGACTAGTGCTTCTATAGAAGAATATGTCCCTTTAACGACTAATACTTGTTTTCGTATTTTGTATTTATCAGAAATATATAAGATAAAATATTTTGAATCAATTCAGTAAATCGAAGGACAAATTGTTATTTCTGAAAGTGCTAATTGTGTTATTCTTGGACAGAAGAAAATATCCGACCTTTGAGTACTTTATGATTAACGTTTTACAAATAATTTCCCTAGAGCTGATCAAAACATACTGCCTTTCTCCGTTTCCACCCGGAAATTTAAACCTGTCAATTCTTCCCCTTTTGACCAAAAACACATCTTCTACGAACTGGAATATCGAACCGGAATATTCTTTCTATGAATCCTAGCCCATATAAATTTTGAAATTCATTTTTATTTCTTGATTTGTAAATATTGTTGTTACAATCAAAACCAAAAATTTAAGAAATAATGCTCTGGAGACGGGAGAAACCATGCGACTTTTGAAAACGGACATCTGTAACGAAGACGGCCTTCGACAGTATTTATCACTGTTTATTAAGGACCCGGATCTATTCTGAATCTATGTGTAAATTTTGTATTATACATTAATTGAATCTAAATATTGTTTAAATCAAACCCAAATTTCACAAATTAATGTCACTCTGTTGCAGGCGTCAACTATTATAGGCTATAAAGTATCTATAACAAAGACTGCCTAGTTTCCACTGTATTTACCTCTGTTTATTTACAATCTCCAGGAATTATCAAATCAACATTAATAATTTCACCTTGAAATGAGTTATTAGATTAATTTATTATGAGGTCGTTTCGACCAGATTACAGTTGTTGAGAAGAAAACACAACGTTTCTATTTACTCTGAAAAACATGTCCACGTTACAGCATTCTATTTACATTGACAACCTTCTAATGTTTACATTCTTATTTTCACGTGACGTCTAGTAAATAGACCACGCCCACTCTAATCAATCTGATCAATATTTTATGTTAGTTGTCTTAATCCGTTTCTCTAAGTAAAAAGAATTCGATTTTTTACCGTGGGTAGAAAATAATAAGCTTTATGAATAAAAACAAAACATATTTTTGAACTAGTTTCTTGTTTACGATATATTGTTTTTCAAAAAGTAATTAGACGTTGAAATCCGGATTTCTTGCTTAAAGAAATTTTGAATTTTCCAACCTGAAAATGGTCAGATTGACCCGACCGATTTTAGAATTATTTCAGAAAACGCAATTTCAAACTTTATTTCATTTTCAATTTCGAAATCAAATTCGCCTTCAGAAACCGGATAAGCTTTGCAGCTGGGGTCCCTTTTTTAACGGAATAAACATTCGAAATATCTTTTACGGATTTTTTGAAATATCCTATTTATAATTTTGTTTTGTTGCCGGACTTAGGTATTTACAAATTTTTGTCTCAGTATTATTAAATGTAAAATCCGTGTTCAGCGAATAAATTTAACTTTTGATACCGTTGTGAAACTGGGAACGGAACTTGCGAAATGAGCTCATTTGATTCGTCACTAGGTTGTTTTGAATTGTGAGGGGCACTCGATGAGTAATGGCGGATTGTTGTTAAACAGTTATCAGTTATAAATAAATTTATTTTCGGGGAAGAAAATGCGTTATATTTGAAATCGTGTACTCTTTGCCCGCTCTCTCAATACACCCTCAACACGGGGCAATCAATTCACCGTTTTCATTGGTCCATTTTCTTCGCGCACTTTTCTCATTGGCTGATATTTTAACATTCACAGAATTCTTTTATTCTTGGCTGAATGCCAGTTGTAGTTTCAGTATACCTTCCGCCAGAAAATAGTTCCATGTCTAGCTCTTTAAAACTTTATCAAAATTTTAAATTTTTGAAAACTAATTTCAGATATACATTTAAAATTCAAAATGCAAATAAATTCTTAAATTTCGCAAAATAATTCTGAAAACGTGAAATTGTAAAAGAATTAAATAAGAGTGTTGGCGGATTGCCAATGTGGGCGGGGTGTCTAGTATGGCGGAGTGATGTTGACCTAATTGTGAAATATTTTACTAGCAGTAGAGTAGAGTTGAGTTTAAATCACATCAGAGACTTGCTCAGTTCAGTCGTGAAAATTAATTCTATGTTTTAAAGTGTATTACACCGTACATCAGTTGTGTAGGATAATAGCACAATGATGGGTCGAAAATCAGCATTAACTGGAGTTTTTACCAGAAATTCATCAGGTACTTGCCGAATTTTTTGGATTTTTTAGGTGTTTTTTGCCGTCATTAAAGTGTTTTAGAACAAGATCTATCTGGATACAACAATAATGATGAAGAAAATATGGAATTTTGTAAACCTGGACATGTTTTGGTAAATTTTGAGTGAAATTCTAAATTTTGGTATTTTATTTTTCAGCAAGCCAAACTAAAGACAACCGAGCTCGATTTGAAAGTACATACAGTGTGAGCCATGTTTTAGGCAGTGGAGGTTTTGGTACCGTCTATTCTGGGGTCAGAATTCGAGATAACTACCCTGTTGCAGTTAAACATATAGTCAAAGAAAAAGTTAGCGAGTGGGGACAGGTCAGTTTTGAACATTTTTGAGTTTAAATTTCACAAATTAATTCTACTTTCATTTTCACTTCTTGGACTAATTGGACTAAGATTGAAGCCATGAAAAAAACAACAAATAGAAATGCTAAATGAATTGAAAAATTTATGTTTCTTATTTTCTCTTTTCAGCTCAATGGAGTAACTTTACCCATGGAAATTATTTTAATGAAAAAAGTCCAACAAGTGCCTGGTGTTGTGAGAATTTTGGATTATTATGAAATGCAAGGAAGTTTTATTATTGTTATGGACAGACCTGAAGCCTCAAAAGATTTATTTGACTTTATCACAGAAAAAAGAGTTTTGGATGAAATGACCGCCAGAGACTTCTTCCGACAAATTTTACTCATGGTTTTGAATATTCATAGATGTGGAGTTATTCATAGAGACATTAAAGATGAAAATATTCTAGTAGACTTAAAAACAGGACAGTTAAAATTAATAGACTTTGGTTCTGGTGCAATTCTGAAGGATACAGTTTATACAGAGTTTGATGGTAAGTATTTGTGAATGTTTGGATTATCATTTTGAGGGATTTTTTACAATTTTTAGCCATTTCGTGTTGATAACATTGACGAAGAAAAGTTGATAAAATCGTGCTTGTTCGGGAAACGTAAAAACACAACATTCCTTGGTTAATCCGAGGTACAAGTGTATGTCAATGCGAGCAATCACTTTGTTTTGGCAACTGGCCAATACATTGAATACATCTAAATAGCTACCAGGTTTATTTGTCTTCAATTCTTCAAACGGCTTGATAACTTTCTTTACAAACGATTGTCATCGATTTTCACATTCCGCGGTTAGGACATGTATAATACGAAATTGCTTGGAATTCTATCTTTGAGACATGTAGGTTTGACCTAAAGAGAAGGGTTTTCTGTGCCAAATATGGCTGCTAGCGCCTGCTGGTACTACGCGAGGTGAACGAACTTGATACGACTCTGAATAACTTGCCGTGCCGTGAAATCTTATCGACCTTTCTACTTTTCGTCTGCTTCTACACGTTATTGACTTCCACAGTTTTAGGCTGGTACAAATTTGGCTTCACTGATTCAAAGTCAACTTGACGATTTTCATAATATATTTTTAATTGTTGGTTATTGCGAATAACGCCCGGTAAATATCGAATATTTGCTTTGGTATATCACTGATATTGCTCAATTGATATTCAAGCATATTCTTATATCCGGCCCTTGTTATTTCTAAATTCAAAATCTTAAATTCTCCGAAAATGAAGATTACACAATTAAAATTTCATCCTGTTTAAAATCTTATGACTATGAAGAAATGAATTGTTTATGATACGATAAACTTTGCACCCAATGTCATTGTCATGTGTATCTATATTGTGTTATCATGTAAAAGTTAAACGCTCGGGGCAATGATATAAAGTAGAAAAGAATGTGACCTAGATCGTGTCTTTGGTCTATTTAGAGGTGATTAAGTCAAGTAACTTTTGACCGTTCTGCTTCAAGTCTTTGCTATCGCTACTGGGCCATTATACTATAGCTATATATTGTATATCAACGATATAACATTTTTTATCGTCTGCGCGTTTACGTCAATACCTAATTCACGCGTTTAGCGCCTTTTATGATCAATGAGAAATGTTTTTATTTCCAATTTGAGTAAACAATTAAAAACTAAAACATGAATTTTGTATCAAAATTTTCAAATTATGTCCAAAGGAACTTGAATTATAAAAGTCTTTTCTTTGTATTTTTCAGGAACTCGAGTGTACAGTCCTCCAGAGTGGATCAAATACCATCGTTATTGGGGTCGTTCTGCTACTGTTTGGTCACTTGGTATCCTCCTCTACGATATGGTCTGTGGTGATATTCCCTTTGAACAAGATGAACAAATTACCAAAGCTGATGTTACTTTTAAAAATAGACTTTCTCAAGGTATGTACATGGACAATATTTAAACTTTATTTGATAAAAAACATGAATGCATGTGCATTGGACTAATTTAACGTTATTTCTGATGAAGTGAATGTACGTGCAAACTACGCTTTGACCTTAAAAAATATACTCTTTAAGTGAGACTTTTGCATTCAAAATTAACTTTATTTTTCCAGTTATTTATGATTTTTTCTCTTTATCTTTTCAGAAGTGAAAAATTTAATCTGTTCGTGTCTTTCTGTGAAACCGTCAGATCGCCCTTCCATTGAGGATATTTTACAACACCCCTGGTTACAAGTGGGCAGTCAAGATAATAGAACACATAATGATATCAATAACTCTGAAAAAAATAAAGTCTTAGATGCCAGCTCAATGGGAAGTCAAGACAGTGTTTGAATATTGACTAAAATTAGGAATTTACAAATTTAATATAAAAACTGTGCAATGCAAATAAATCAAGCCAGAAAACTGACTGAAATGTGTTCAAGCCTGGCTTCAACAGTGACTCGATAGTTCAGGGTGATACAGTCAGTGTCAGCGAACACAGGGTCATGAATCATGATACTAGCAACCCACAGGGCCTTGTGATAGACAGGAGGTGAACTATAAACTTAATGTGATACAAACGTTGAAACACAGTTAAACTGTGTCTTATTGCCATTTCAATGCAAAACTTCTAAAGTATATCAACTTTCCAAAGGATAATATCGAAACGCATCCAGCGTTTTCCAGCAAAATCCTGGATAAATGTTAAACTATCCAAATATCCAAAAATTGGAATGCAAATTCCAAAAGGCAGCAATTGTTTGAATGTTGACAATGAGGTACATTGAAAAGGACGAACGGGTTATTATTGTGATGTTCGAAAGAAGCGAACCTGAAACTTCAGTTTTTGAAAATGTTGTTGGAATATCCGGGGGAAATATATGTAATTTATTGTGAATGAACGGTTGTGAGGGAGGGTGTGTGTGAGTGTGTGAGGGTGAGATTGTGTGTGAACTATTCAAATTGTGCATTTTAAATTTTGTTTTGAATGAACTATCATTATTTCATGTATAATTTATCTGTAAAATTCACGTTTATTTTAATCATCTTATTCATTGTATATATAATTTCATTATTATTTATTTTTTTGTGTGAAGACTTCAGAGTTTGAAGTTTGTCCAATTGTTTGTATCAAAAAATAATAAAAATTGAATTTAAAAAAGAATAATAAAAGATCAAAATTAATTAAAATTTCTTTTTTCTTCATCAACGAATTATTAGCGCATAAGGTTAGCTTGGACTCTTGGATATTTTTTGCAAGATACATGAACACCAACTTGTTAGAATATATGCATACCCTCGATCACAGCTTTCATATTTTCAACATGGTCCGGCCTGGAATCTGCATCCGAAAACTGAACTTGTGGAACAAAAACTTCAAAATTTAAATTGCATCTTTAAAAAAGTTTTGGTCGTGAGAATTTGAGAAACTGTGTAATGGATCTTGACTGTCCAAGTGAGGTCAATGCAGAAACACTTGTCCATGATTGGACACTACACCGAATCACCCTACCGATATTGACACGCCATAACCTGGAAGTAGTCCGGTCATAATGCCCACTTAGATGAAGGAGTAGGTCAGCTGGTACGGGCGTTATTGCTGATATACTCCGTCTCGGTATGGCGTGGTGGGAGGAAAGAATACTTTGTTGCATTCGAGGTTATTCCGTCCGTTTGTGAGAGGAACTGGTTTTCGCTGGTTGAATCTTGCTTCAAATTAATTAAGATGTTCCAGGGATGCTATTTTTTTCTTTCTCGTAATACTAATAGTAACAAAGGCCTAATAAAAGTTTTATTCGAAATCCGTTGGATTTTTAACTCAAAATAATTTCACGAAATTTTAATCATAGAGTTGTTAAAGTCGTGATAATATTTTATTCAATGATAAAAGCTATTACTCTTAACGGCTTTTTCAATGACAAAATAGTGTGGGAAAGACGCCATGTTATGATGTGACGTCATGAAACAAGCACTCTACAACCACGTGGACAGTTAATAATCGGTCAAGGTCATTTTTATGTGAAACTTGAATGACCATGATGTAGCGTATCCTTTCTGATTTCTCTAATCGGCGTCACGCTGAAATTTACGTTGTTTCAACTTGTATTTCTGAGTCAAAACTAATATTTCGTGATCGAGAAAAGCTTTGTCAATGAATGGCAAGTCACGATAAGACTCGTACAGGCTTGATTTGGGTACAGCAAAAACGTCATCTCGGAATGCCCGAAGTGTCAACTTGACTGGAGGGACGGGGTATATGAGCTATAACGCCCTGTCCTTGATGCGTCCAACAGTTGTATTCTGGTTTCATGGAACCGATACTGACAGCCTAGTTTTTAAGACATATTGTGGGTCTGAGAGTTATAAAATTGCTTTTTAGTAACTTTCGTGCATAATTTATGATAGTACCGGTACCATAGTGGCCGAGTTGCACATTTTATATTTTCAATCCTACTTATCTTTTTACACTATCAAGACTACTAATTACATTGTAACGAAACATAAACATAGCTTCTAATCGGCACACAGAATATTTGTAAAATACTATCAGTAGAGTGCTAAAATTCAAGGTAGTAATTGAAAGAAAGTGTTAGAAGCCCATGAAAATAAATTTTCTAGAAAAATGACCAGAGCCAAGGTGTCGCATATTTGTATTGGGCAGGTACTATTATTGCGACATATTTGTTGGGTGTGATGTAGAAATTACACTAATAACAACGATATCTATATATACTTAATATATATCTAATATAAATTACTTTTATACATTCTTCACATTTTTTATACCCAACTTATTTCTTGGCGAGCCTCGATCATCAAAGACAATTCGCCTTATTGTACACTGCATGGAACAATGTTGTTGAGATTATTTAAACTCTGTCAGGTACAATATATCATCCAGTGCTGTATTTTTGATATAAATTTAGATGACCATATTTTCACCAATTCATTGTCGAGCGAGCATCTTCCACACTACGACTAATGGACTCTGCAACTGCGAACAGATTAATACCACTGTCTTGGCAAAACTTTCCCCATCACACTGCATGGCGTTGCCCGTCATCATTATTCCATAAGGCGTAGAAGAGTAGGACGTAAAACTCATTTCACTTTCTTCTCTACATCTGGGTTTATTCACTGGATATTATTTTCGGAGTAGGAGTAGGGCTATGTGTTTATTTTGTTTATTTTGACTGTCCTTTATCGAACCATCAACTGATCAATATCGGAAAAATTGACCAGCCAATCATGGCTGACACCCGACATAATTTTCAAGGACAAAAGTTCGGAAATATGATTCAGAAGACACGTACAAGGGCTGCCCCTAGCCATGTTTAACCTCAAGTAAAATTTATATATAAATCCTAATTGACACTAATCTGACATTTTTGAACTCTTCGTAGGTCTATATTAAATCTTTTGGGCGCATGAAAGTGGGGATTTCAACCAATAGACTATTGGATCATCTTCGACAAGCGATGGGCAAAACTCAGAGCAGGTGGACTAAGTAACCGGTGTTTTCGGGTGGCATATTAAAAAATATAGGCCTATTAGCAGGTTCCCTGGTCCTACCCTTGGTTTCTTTCACCCAACTTATAATGTATCTAATCCCACAAATATAAGTGGTAATCCATTCAAAATATTTTGCGATTAGCCCGAACACAAATCCGATCAATTCTCAGCAAAATTCTTGTGAAGCTTAGTCAATTTAATGTTTTGATTAAAAGTGAGAGGTTATCACCTTGACTTCGTCGTCAAGACGCCATTTTGTTTTAAATCTCCTTCACAATCAAACACCATTTACCGCCTGAATAGTCCCGAGGTATTTATCATTACATAATCTGTTACCATTTCTACACTCGTAATTCAAATACAGAGTAAAATGAACTACTTGTTATAACTTCTTCTTTTCATTCATCTTATTCATCATCATGACGTTTACACATTACGTCATTGTCGTCTGACGTCATAACGTGACGTAACGAGTTAATTTTGAATGAAATTAGTTTTATTTGATGTAGTAAATTTAAATGAGTTATAAATGTGTTATTGTAAAACTGTTTTAAAGAAAAGAAATTTGACATGAAAGAAGGATCGATTTGTTGACTGTTAATTGAGCATTTGGTTACTTCATCTAAACTTATCGTCATCTCGTTAGCAAGTCATTAATTCGAACCCTAAACCCCAGGGCGCCCCAGCTTTCAAAAGATGTCTATGTAATGTCAAGAGCTTTGCGTAACGTTTACGATTAATTAACATATTCAGATGCAAATTACCATAATAAATCGATTTTTCTTGAATTTCGCGTGGTCAGTGAGTAACTTATTGTGTAAGTTTTCTTCGGTAATATCAACAACTTGGTACAAACTGTGTATATCATAATATTAACATCAAACAGATGCATTGAAAGCAATACTTCTGACAGTTATTACTCATGTATGAAGGAGACAAGTTTAAAAAGCGAAACCCCTCAATAATCCCACAAATTTCATCTTATACTGAGTTGTTATCAAACAGGTTTGATATTTCGGTCAGTTATTAGGCTACTCCAGAAGGGGGGCAAGTTTAAAACAGCGAAAACCGCAAGAATCCCCCTGAGAAATTCAAAATAATTCAGTTACAAATAGCCTCTTCAAAAAGTCATCAAGCCTTATCTTTCGCTCCCCTTTTCGTTCAGAAATTCAGTCATGTCACCAAGTGTCGGATAATTTTTCTTTTTTTCAAATTAAAGAATGGAATAGGAGTGCAGTATGAATGAAAATGAAGTTATTTGTTTATTTTTCAATTCGTGAAAAGGAAACATAAAAGAAACATTAAAAGATACAACAGAGATCGCCAAGCCTGTATTCATCTTAAAAACACGGATCTCCTTAATTTATGCGTTTCGCGTACAATAATAATGTCAAGATCGTCACAATTTTTAGGATACCTTCATTGTTAAAATAACCTTGACCGTGTTATCCAATCAAATTCTCATATCCGCCAGTTTAGCCAATCAGAAACGTTGAATAATGACGTCATTTTAAGGATGCGTTGATTATCGTATCAGTATCCTAGAGAATGTTTACTTCCGGTAATGATGACACAGACGTTTTGTTTAGTTGATAAAGGCGGATCTTTGAAGTCCAAAATAGCAAGTTCAACGAAATTTCTTAGAAGTGTGACTGGAGCGTCACCGGAAATTGGTCCACAGCGGTCAGGAAATCTTTGAGAAGATAGACATGATAAGTTATAAACTGCTCAGTGAGCAATTTGAATTTTTTGATGATAGAAATTGAGAATAAAAAAATAGAAATATTACTTTTCACATCTCATTTCATTTGTGATGGCTGGAAAATCAAGTATAGTGCTTTCATACAATCATGTACATCATCATCGTTCCTTCAAAACGTCTTAAACAATTTTTTTTTTTTTATCGTGTTTCACTTTAGGAGGTAGATATCAATCTCAATAATTTTGCAGCCACGTTTGTTTGTTTTTTTTTTTTTTACTTCTGTTGGATTTTAAATTTGTCTGAATATATTGGACTGATGTATAGCTATGTATTATTTAACCAGGTTATTAAAAGAGATTTCTATTTGGACGAAGGCGTAATCTATCTTCAATTCGACTTGAAAATGACAAGTTATTACGTAATATAAGACGGAGTTGATGATATTATGACATGATATATAGTGAAACTGGATATTAGTTTAAACAATAATTATTTATTTTATTTATTTATTTAAAAAGGACATCAAGTCTATATAGGCCTATTGTAGATAAGAGCAGGCCCGAGACCAGCCCAATGTACCAAAGGGGGGAGGGGGGGCGCATATGCATGGGGGGCAAAAGCTGATAAAGACTGATTTCAGCTTCAATTGAGAATTTGTTCGAATTTTGCAGAAATTGGGAGGGGGGGGGGGGGGGGGGGGCCTTGATAAGAGTATAATATAATATAGTAGAAGAAGGATATTTACTGACCTCTACCAGTCTATAACCATACCTATTATATTTTTATTTCCCTATTACATGTTTAAAGAGTTATTAGGTTTATCTAATTTCTACAATGAACGTGATTCTGATATTTGATTGTATAAAGTGAAATTAATGAATTTAGAAAAACTCTATGGTTTCAGAGTGCATCACATGTTTTTCTAGAATATACGTTAAAAGACAATTAATATATTGATTCCAGTATAA